GAACCTCTACAGACCCTATCAAACCTCTACAGACCCTATCAAACCTCTACAGACCCTATTTTTTTTAAGGTGAAGACTAATGTTGTTTTTGAAACATAAACTGACTGAACTCTCACCACGGTTAAAACTAAGATAAGGGGATAGTGAAATAATTGTGACGAGAGGCAGATGTGTGATTAAAAGAAAAAGAGAAAACTCCATCCAATGAGATCATTGTTTTAGAATTGTACAAAATCACAAATCAGATTTGTATAAATGTACAAATCAGATGCTCTGCACACCATCTCGGCTTTGCTGCTTGATTCAATCAAGTCTATAGATTTTTGGCATCCAGAGTCCCTTGTCTTTGTAACTCATTTCTTATTCTGATTTGCAGAAGTATTTGCCACGACACCCACAGTATTGTTGTATTTACAGTGTTGTCCTATTTGCATTATAAAACAAGGTGAGACTCAGTACATGCAAACAAATTCAGATTCACTATGCAACGCAGTACATTTAAAAACAGTTCTATCCTCCCTCGAAACATTCCCAAAGGAAACGCAGCCAACCCCTACAAAGGCCAATGCAAGAGAAGCTAACACGCGCGCGCACACACACACAATTTAATCCTAAACATTCACATAGACTATAAAACACAGCTCTACAATCAATGTTCTACTGAGCAGCCTAGGTCTATTACTCTTGAAGTTTGTTAGCTCTGTCTGTCTTCTGCTTAAGTGGAGGGCTCTGACTAGACAACTGATCCCTAGCACAGCACCATGGGGGTTGTAGTTTTCTGCAATAGACATTCAAACACAACAAATAACCAGTACTGACCCCCACTGGCAGGAGGCCTTAACAATTATGAGAAATAATTGCAAGACACACTAACTTATAGAAGTAACCAACAAGTTGCATTTGTATTACAGTTATATTTTCACTGATGAATCACAAAATAATAATCTTAATACCTTTGTTTGATTACATAAAAAATAAAAGATCAATTGTGACACTTCACTGTACCAAGACATTGTGTATTAATCACAGCAAATAATTATAAATATCCCTGAACCTGCTATGTAGTAGGAGGTGTATAATTTTACCCAGACAGAAAAATTTATTATATTAATATCTTTACTTAGCTGCATGAAATAGGGTCCCTGGAGGACTAATGGTTAGGCCACAGCACTCTCACCGCTGCGGCCTGGGTTCAATTCTCAGCCAGGGAACCAGCCCCAGTCACTGGGGTTGCATACAACAGTGTTCTCTCAGTACCAGTCCCAAGCCCAGATAACATTGGGGAGGGTTGTGTCAGGAAGGGCATCTGGCAGAAAAACTGTGCCAAATCAAATGCACGGACCAATGATGCGCTGCGGCAACCCCTAACAGGAGCAGCCAAAAGAGAAACAACAACAACTTAGTTGGATGAAATATAATACACAATAAAATAGCAAACTTTAAATCTATGGTGTCACCAACAAATTAGAAACTTGCTGTTCAGCATGCCTCGTAACAAAGTCATCTAAATTCAAGGCCTTGGTGTGTTTTCACTCAATACTGAGTATAGCCAAACTGGACAGTCTACTCTCCATCATAGTACATTGTAAGTGAGTTCTGGTGACCTTAAGAGCTCAGAAACCTTCCCATGCAGAACAACTACCTGGTAAGGCAACAGCCATTTTGCTCAAGGAACAGCTGAATAGCTCAAAGAAAACATATGGTTCTAAAAAAAGTTGACAAACTCCATCAAACTACCAGGACTTGCTAATACTCACCTTCTTCAACATTTGACTTTTAGCTAGCCAAACAGCTAGACACTTTCCCCTCAACACTCCAAAGGCATATGGATAATCTTTATGAAGTTTTGATGGTTTCAAGTGTGAAACTGAAACAACATACAAGAAACAATATAGCAGGTAACTCATTACAGTTGAATAGATGAAATGGTAAGTTTATTAGCCAGTTTAGTAAATTTTTAGCTAAGATTTCATGGCTAAACGTTTCTGCAAGTACAACATAAACTCTCAGTAATATAGATAAAGTATACTTACAGGAATTGCTTTTTAACAAGCAGAAAGAACACTGCTTCGGATTAAGGAACTGACACAATACTGACAAGCATGCACCATAAGCAATTAACTCCCTGATTGTTAGTGTCCCGCCCCAACAGGATATGAGGTCAAATAAGAAAATACTGAGAAAATACTAACAAAGAACTAATTGCCACAAGGTGGAGCTATTGCTCAAGATAACACTTCATTCTGAACTAACTGGAGCTTGTTTATTCACCTACTGGAACACTTTATAATTTAATACTTTGTTAAATCATCTTTTGCTTGTAATACAGCATTCACTCTTTTTGGGTAAGAATCTACTGACTTAGTGTAGCCGGCTCGTGCTTCACGGCTCGACTACCCCTCTGCGTTGTGATGTGTTGTGTAAAATAAACACTGGGATCAGTCTGCTGGTTCAGATGTCTTTATGTTGTGTGCTCTGCATAAGTAGGAAACATGCAGCTAATTATTCGTTGTACATTCTTGCCTGCTCCTGCTCGCTCTGCTCAGACCCCCCGCGGACTGAAGCAAGAGCGCGCAGCGCGCCAGTGACGTCACAACGGCGACGCGTGCGAAACTTATATATATATATAAAAAAAAAATAGAAATACACATTTTTAATCCTTCTCTTCTCACACACATTAGTCTCCAACAAAAAAAACGAGGATTTTCAGTGAATTTAAATAAAAACACAGATTATAATTAACACCTGCTACATTAGCACATCTTGATTTGGCAATTTTGATTTCCCACTCCACTTGCAAAAATCCTCCACATCTATCAAATCTTTGTAAGAAATAAGATACTGATTTTAAAGAAAAAAATCTTTTTCATCAAGCAAGCGAGTATATCAGGAGTCATAAATAAAGGTTTTCAGCTGATTTCTCATGGTCTTGTGAGCCTGAACTACTTCTGTTCTCTGCACACACAATCAGGTGTGCAAGTCATGTGGTGACACAGTACCACCTAACCCTAACCCTACCCGATTTGCATCCATTTACATTTACAGCATTTGGCAGATGCCCTTATCCAGAGCGACTTACAATTATCTCATTTATACAACTGAGCAGTTGAGGGCCTTGCTCAAGGGCCCAGCAGTGGCAGCTTGGCAGTGTGGGGACTTGAACTCTCAACCTTCCAATCAGGAGTCCAATGTCTTAACCACTGAGCTACCACTTCCCTCATGCAAGGTGTAAATTTGGGCAAGGACTTGGTTGGGTAGCGAAGTTTCAGTCTGATCTGTACCACACATGCATTAACAGTTTACAGCTCGATTTAAATCAGAGCACATGCGCAAAAATGTCACGTTACGAAACTTGCCTGCCAACAGTTATAGCAAATAAACGCAAATGCAATATGAACTTCAATGTCATAGCATAAAAGGCATAACGTTAAAAAGGCTGTTGTATGAATAGCATGGAGTATGGTACTCTAAGTTTTCAACATTTTGCTTCCATGTTGGAAGGTTTCCTGTAGCCCTTAATTAATATGGAATATTATTTCCAGTTTTGTATTTAACACTGGTGGTTTCCAGTCTTTTTGAAAATTGGCAGGGGACATGGATTGAACAGCCACAAACACAACTGGGATTAGGGTTAATGGGTACATGGTAATGTGGTAATGGTAACAGTATATTTCAAAATGTGGAAATTCTCTGTAGTGTCTGTAGCCTAAAGAATTTACAGCCTAAATAGGTGGTAGGGAGTCTCCCTATATGCTTTTTTCCCCCAAGTTCATCAGTTCCTGGCTTAATAAAAACTGGCTCATCGTTACTTCATTTTTTGCTGATTGCAATGGTGATTGTTGGCATTCTGAATTGTCACATATTTTTCTAAAGTTTATAATTATATAAAATTATGTTTATGTATAATTATGCTACTCAAACAAACTCCATAAGGTACTAAACAACATTACCAGTCAGCAGTCTCACATCATCTTTTTTTTTCCCCTCATAGTCAGTGAACCATCAGGCTGAAGAACAGTTTCTTTTAAGTGGCACTTATATTAAAATACAAAACAAAGCTTTGTAATAACGATTAAAAAAAACTATTCCCTCAGTCACTGTGATTATGTCTTTATATTAAGCAACTGTAAAACTGTGAAATAATACCAGTGCATCAAAAATAATCTAACCATAACTATACAGTGTTTTACTGTATGATGCATATAAGCAAATTACATTGCATAGGTAGAGTGTACACAGAATTTTTGTCATGCTAACTACAAGGTTGTTGTTTCTCTTGAAGCCTCTTGTCTTCATCATTCAGCACATCTTTGGCAACTACACTTTCTATAGTGTTGAGGTCCAACCACTGCTGTGCATTACAGATGAAACTTGGTCCAACATTTTTTACTCTAAATATGATTGCACGGCCAGTTGTATTGGAGGCTACATGTGTGCAGGACTCCAACTTATATTCTTCTCCATGCTAATATTTCAGTGGGTTTATTTTTAGACATGTAGCAGAGAGCATGCACATATGGAGAGAGTGAAACAATAGATTTATATGTACAGTTACCCTTTGGAAAATGAAAACTGGACATGTTTATGAACTTGGGTGTACAACTATATATATAACATCCCTCTTCCTGTACATAAAAAATTAAATTACACACAGACACACACAGAATCAGACTTTAATAATAATAATAATAATAATAATAATAATAATAATAATTTTGTAGTAAAACTGTACGTGTGTATGCTTACATTTGTCCCATCCAAAATGTAATCTGACTGACAGTCTTTCCGATGGCCTTTTTAACATTATGCCTTTTTATGCTATGATAAAACTTCATATTGCAGGATTTGTGTATGTTAGTTATAACTGTGGGCAGACAACTTTCATAATATCATGAGTCCACACACACATAGACATTATTCAGCACTAACCCTTAGTCTGGATCTCAAATATTGGTCCATGACAAGGCTCTATCCTGCAAAGCTACTGTGAACTACTATTCAAGAAAGTTGGAACCATCTTGATGTAGAATATTGTTATTCATTAGTGAAGTCACACAGATTATACACACAGAACCCAGAACAGATTAGACACACAGATTATACACACAGAATCTCTTACCAAGCCCCAAAGTTATGGAATAGCCTCCCAGCTAGTGTTCAAGAAGCAGACACAGTCTCAGTGTTTAAGACGAGGTTAAAGACTTATTTATTTAGTTTAGCGTTTACTGAATAGGCGTTTTAGGTAAAGGAGTAGATCTGGGGGACTCAGGGATGTTGAGTCTTATAGTGATCTGGTGTGCTTGGATGCTGTCTTCCTCACTCTCACTGGTCACTCAGGTTTGTTGGCGGTGAGA